TTCACCCAGCTTGGTCTTTCCTGGCTTCTGATTCAGTTATTACTTAGCTAGATTTTAGGTAACATCTCAGAGCCAGGATCTCAAAGTATGCAGCTTGGATTTTCATCAGTATCCTTAAATGGACTCATTTCTTCGCCCTATTCTGTCCATAAATATGTGGTGAGCCTTGGTACAGATAAAAAGGTAATCCACATGCACTGTCTGCCAAGAAGCTATTTCTTGCTCTGAGTAGAATAGAACATGGTGTAACAAAAACATCCTGCTGTAATTTCTCTTAGAGGGATTGCAGTGCTTGGAAAATAACCTATATCTGTATGAACACTAATACCGACAGTCCGTGTTCCTCTGGAGAAGGGGTGATAATATCCTCCCCCCTTGTGAAATTGCCTGATAGAGCTTCAAACATATGATACACATGCTCCATCATGTGTTAATGGAGATTGAAAACATGTATTTTCAAGCGCACAAGACAGTACAGTATAGCTTCTAATCTGTTTCACAAGACTTGTAATGAACAATAATGTGGTCTTCTCAGATGTGAGTGTCAGTGGTGCACACTGAAGACTAAATTCCAATCGGGTCTGGCAGGCTTTCAACAGAGGTCTCCAGTTTGACATCACACAAACCAAACATCATCTGATGTGCTATCAGTTTTACTTCCATGACGCAAATATAATCTGCTATAGGAGAGCAGTGAGTTTCAGCACCCTGAGAAAGGGTAGTTTGAGTTTTGTATTTCATATTGAAAGCTTTTATTTTTACATCTGAAACAGCTGAAATAATTAGGTAAATAATTAATGGATTCACAGATAATCAGGAGCGGTTTTGAATATCAATTAATCATTTTATTAACCTAACAAACATTTGCTGATTCTAGTTTTTTAAATGTGAAATTGAAGTGAATTTGCTGCTGTTAGTTTTCTTCTTGATAGTACTTGATAGTAAATCTTTCCATTCAAGACTGTTATGAAAGATGTCACCTTGGAACTGTGAAACTGTAATGGCCATTTTTCGCTATTTTGTGACATTTAGTATCACTGCTCTCTTTTCTTCCTAGAAAGGTGTGAAAATGTTTATGTTTTCTTTCTTGCTTATTCAAGTACACTACAGGTGACAGCATTTGGGCCCTTCTGTGCAATTGAAGAGCTATTATATACTTAAAAACACCAACACAGATTAGTCAAGTCAGTTTTATTTATGTCCCAAAATCACGAATAACAAATTTGCCTCAAAGGGCTGTACAATCTGTACGACATAGGACACCTTCTATCCTTAGACTCTTAGTTCAGACAAGGAAAAAGTCCCACCAAAAAACATTTAACAACTTGAAAACGAAGCGAATCAAGTGAGTGCTTTGAAGCCTCCCTCCAAACAACATTGAAAAGACCCCTGCTCTTCATTAAGACATTTTAATTGGCTGTGAACTAATTATGTCATCCCCTCACAGGTGGCCACGGCAGATGGCATCGTCCAACGGCCTGTGTCGATATGGGGCCAGGGTGGACTGCTGCTGGGGATGGACACGCCGTTCCTGGGGTCACTGCCAGCGTGAGTGCCACCATGCCTGCTGCTGCTGCTGGGGGGCAAACAGGGCTAACAAGGTTGCAAGGTTTCAAGCTGGGGTCAAAGATGCTATTAGACAGAGGAGATGCTGTAACACTACTGGAGGCTCAGGGAAACACACATATACACACACACACACACACACGCACACACACAGAGTCATGCACGTTGTCACAACAGAAGTGCATACAGCTAGCTAATGGAGCATCACACCTGGGACAATCTTTGAGTAAAGATTGATGGTGATGGCTGGTTGGACATTTATATTTATATTCACACTGCGGGTGGCCATAATGAGGGAGAGACTGTAGCTGCAGGTGGACACATTCAAGGGTAGATAGGAGATTGATTATAGATTACTACTGCAAAAACAAACTAGCTAAGACTGCCAGAACAAAGAAAATCACGAACACAGTCCATGGCGTTGTCAGGTGTGCAGACCTCAACTCATCTGTATATTCAGCAGCACCGCTTAAAAGATTCAGAGGATGTGTCCTGTCACTACCACACGCCTGTGTCAGATGAACTGTGTGAAATATTAACACGTAACATTTCTGACATATTTACATTGTGTAAAGATCCTCTGCTCTCCTGTAATGCACCCAGAGAGGTGTGAATATACTAACATGGGTTTCAAATCTGGCCAGTTGCCTCACAGATCCTCTGCTTGGCTTGGTGTCTGTGCTGGTATAGCTGCTGCTTTGCTGTGAAGGTTTAATCAAGAAGGGGGTAACACATGAGAAGGATTTTCCACAGCAGGAACTAAGCAATCCACAATTTGAAGGAATAGTTAGACATTTTGTGAAATATACTTCTTCCTCTCTTTGGCAAGAAAATCAATATGACTCTTATATCTGTCTGTTGAATGGGAAGCCACAGCCAGCAGTCGATTAGCTTAGCATAAAGCTAATCAACGGGTGGGAAACCAGCCAAAGTCTAAAGCTCGAGCTACACTACAACTTAACCAAAAAAGATATTAGCTCAGTGAGCTTCAGACGGGGTGGTAGGTAGATTTTTTTAACCTTTGGACGGAGCATTGGCTAGCTGTTTTCAGTCTTTATGTTAAGCTAAGTTAATTGGCTGCTAGCAGTAGATTCATTCTTAGCATATGGATAATAGTGGTATCAATCTTCTCGTCTAGCTCTCGTCAAGAAAGAAATAAAGTGTACTGTATTTCTTTTAAAACTATTCCTTTGAAGTGTAGCCATTGTTGCAGGTTCTGATATGGTTTCCACAGTTCTCTGCCTGCTTTGGGCACACGCTCCTAAAACTAAAACTCAGCTCTGCTCAGAGGTGATACTAAATCCGAGTTCTAGAGACTGCAAGGGGTGGGAGGCAGTGCCGTCAGTTGTGTACGATTACAACAAACACCACGGCATGTAACCAGCGACCACTTATTGGACCATTTGTTGAACCAATGTGGGGAAGATGTATTGTTTGTCATTGATTCATTTTCTTGATAAAATTAATTTATCTCACTTCTTTCTGACATTTCCTCTTATTGAGTTCTTTGCCTTTTTGTTGGCATACAATTTTACATCTCAAATTGTCAATTTCCATCTCAATAGTGCCACATTCTACTTTTGTTTGTCCCACAACTGCACTCCCCTAACAAACGGCAAAACAATAATGTCTGTCACCTTTTTAATCAGTGTTTTCAAAGCGCTTTTGCCTTTTCAGTGAATCTAAAATCCCCCAGTTAGTTAGACAGTGGAAACACTAAGCAGTAGGTAACACAAAAGCCTTACAGATTCTTAAAAGTTGAGGTTACTGGAAGCTCTTAGGTTATGGGTTGTTTCTGCTGTGGAAAAGACCTAAAAATGTTCATAACTCTGCATGTTGGCTCTGGCCACATATTTGTAGCTTGTTTAAATAATAATGTTTATTAATTCCACTCATTTTGTGTTTTTCTTTGCTGAAATTACCATATTTTGATTTATGTTTGTATGTTTTGAAGCCCATCATGCTATACTGTAGCTCACCTTTTTGTTTCATTGTATTTTGTATATTTTCTATGACAAATATGTCACACACTGCTGCTTGGGTCCAAAGGTCTGCGCTGCTGCAGCTAAAAGATTTCTGAATTTGTTCGGTTTTGCAGCTTTTTTTCACTTCAATTTCATGTAAAAGTGGCAGAGTGCCATCTTTTTGCTTGATGTTGTGGAGCGTATTGCAATATATCTTATTTTGTTGAGAACACAAACAGTATTATGTGAGTTCATGGCCCCAGCTTTTGTATTCTTACAGCCCAGCCAGATTAACCTAAGGTCGTTGCAAGACAAATCTGCTTTTTATCCACCTCTCGCTTCATGTCTATTAGAAACAAAATATGATAATTTTATTCTTATATAAACACTTAGAGTCAGAAGAACTATTTATGCTAGTGGTTTATGGGACAGACCTAGACTTGTAGCTTGAGGGGGGTTGATTTCACAGTTCATGTAAATGAGTGTTTTTTTAAATAATAGTTGACCTTGTTCAAAAATCTCCTACCTTGTCCCAAGGCCTTGACACTTGAACTTGAACTACACAGTCTGTACTGGATTGATTTAGGCAAAAGCACCATTGTTTAACTCAGACAGCTCAATTGTATCATTTGATAGTGTTTGTTTGAACATGGGGCCAGACTTCACAGTAATCCTGGCAGGAGTCAGTCGTCTCAATGCCCAATACCTCCCAGTGCATCTGTTCTGGGCTCTCTGCCTTTACCCATTCCCATGTTCATATTATTCAAGGTGGAATAGATGTTAGATTTGAATGAGGACGAGAAAGAAGAAGATTACTTCATGATCACAGAAGCTTAGATTAGAGGTTAAGGACATGACTCATATGCTCATATTTTACCCAATTGAAACCCAAACATGAATGTGCCATAGCCCGTAGCTTAGTTACGGTTCTACAAGACAAAACATTCATTGTTTTGACTCTAGAAATCAAGGGTGATGATAAATCATATGTGACATTTATTTAATGATAAATTAAGCACAGTCACATTTTGATAGTCACTTTTCAATCAATTAATCAGTCACTTGACCAGCCAAACAGCAGTGTGTTGACATGTTTTCTTTGTTGTTCTGGAGTCCCACGTGTTCCATTTAAGCCAAAAATATGAGCTAATTTTGAGCTTAACCACCACATCAAGCTGCTACAGTACTTTCACTCCTCCACTTTATTTTTTTTTGCAACAAAACCATGTCAGTTCTGTGAGTAAATCACTCAGTGAGTGCCTGCCTTAATGCTTCCAAATGCTCCTGACTGGGTGCACAGCTCAAATCATTCACTTGAGACTACAATCAGTATTCCATCAAGTCAGTGAGGTGCTGATTTAAACCTTAAAGGAGGGAGGTGGAGGGTTTGGTAAAGAACGGAAGTGTGTAATCATGGGTGTGTGTGTGTGTGTGTGTGTGTGTGTGTGTGTGTGTACGTGCTCCTTTGTCTGAATGTGGGTGAGAGGATGCAGTCATTACAGATTTCAGGTCTTGGTAAGTTTTTGTGGCGATAGAAGAGATTAGATTGGAGCTATCGCATTGTGGCTTTCTCAGCCACGGAGCTCAGCGATTGGTTTGTGCGACTTCTCCCAAAGAATGAGAAACTTAATGGATCAGCCTTGAAGCTCCCAAAAAAAGAAGAGGGAATGAAAGTTGGAGAAAGTAAAATCCTGGTGTAAGGTGTAAGGAAAATGTTTAAGAGGTAAGGAGTTAGAGTTGATTGCTGCTGGAGTGGAGGAGAGATGTCAGGAGAAGGAGACAAGTGAGAAAATCAGGCAGATGGAGAAAGAGAGAGAGAGGGAGCTTTAGATTTATAGTAAACTGAAGCTCTACTTATAATGTTCTGACAGGCCATCCGGCAGGCAGAGCAACACTTGAAGCTACTTATTCTAACCAGCTGCCATCATGAACATTTTACTGCCACTGAGAGCATTTGAACATTTGTTCAGCAATTGCATATCTAATTGTATTTCCAGTGTAATACAGTTTACAGTAATCACACT